TTATACCTCTGTTATTCGTGTGCTACCGATAAATTTCATAATTAAACAACGCAAATTAAAGCCAAATTGGGAAACTATTTTTAAACCACTTGCCCTCGAGGTAAACAATATTTCAATTTTATAACGATTACCTTTATATAACTTTATTTTTTAAGATTATGGAAAATTAACTTATATAACTGGTAACGATTCTAATCAATGACGTTATTTCTTGAAAGATCTGTGTTCAAATTAAATTCCCACAGTATAATTAATTATACATAAGTCGTGTTTTCACATTTCCCATTATTAATAGAAAATGTAAAACCACAACTTTTAACAAATTATCAATCTCCTTCATATAACGGATAATATCTTTTAACAGCCTCTTTACCACAATAAAAATTAATAAATAATAAAGTATATTATTATTATTTTTTATAATAACAGTTGAATAACGTATAGGTTTATAAATTTAAATAGTTTTAGTAAAACTTGAATTATGATGTATTGTTTTAAGAAATTTCTTCTAAAATTGATTCAAAATCATATACAAATAGGATGAAATAATAGTTTTTCGCGAGAATGAAATTTAACAATTGCTTTTTCTCTGCTTGGAGTACAAAACTTTTGATATTTATATTTAAGGCATACTTTTAAATGTTCTTTCAAAGAATTTTTCCCTGTTGAAAGCCATTGAACAATTTTTTATAAAAATTTCATATTCCAGATTTTCAGATGTTAGTCAGTTAAAGTTTCTAATTAAGAAANTGTTGGCTTATTACAAGAAATCTCACTATAAACAGCAAACAAAAATATATAATATATATATATATATATATCATCATCATCATCATCATCATTATCAACCGTTATCAATCAACTGCAGGATGAAGGTCTCCCCAAGCCTCTTCCACAATCTTTTGTTTTGAGCACTTCGCTTCCATGTTTTGCCAAGATGCCTGTTGATCTCATCAACCCACCGAGTATGAGGACGTCTTCTTGGTCGTTTTCGATCTCTTGGTATCCAATCAAGAACTTCAGATGTCCAGCGATGGTCAGTTCTTCTTGCAATATGCCCAGCCCACTGCCACTTGAGGGATTTTACTCTAGCGATGTTATCGGTAACTCCTGTCATTTCCCTGATCCATGTTATACGTTTCCGATCTCTCCTTGTTATGCCAAGCATACAACTTTCCATGCTCCTTTGGGAAGTCTGTAATCTTTGGATCTCTGATTTTCTAAGAGTCCAAGTTTCTGATCCATAAGTGAGAACTTGGCCAGACACACTGATCAAAAACCTTGCGTTTCAGGCACAGGGGCATCTGTTGATTTTTCAAGACTATACTATTCCTACCAAAAGCACTCCAGCCAAGTTTTACACGTCTGTTTATTTCCTCCTTGATGTTGCCATCCATTGATATTCTTTGCCCAGGTAAATGTAAGCATCTACCTTTTCCAATTCTGTTATCTATTAGTAGTGTTTCTTCACATACAAAACTGTTGTACATAATTTTCGTCTTGTTCAAGTTCATCTTTAAACCAACTTCTTTACTCTTGTTTGCAAGTTCTTGAATCATGTCTTGGAGCTCTGACCTGTAATGATGGCAATGTCGTCAGCAAATCGAAGATGTGTCAGGTGGTCTCCATTTATCAGTACACCTTTATTCTCCCAGTTCGTTGATTGAAAAACACTTTCTAACACATTTGTAAAAAGTTTTGGGAAATAGTATCACCTTGTCTCACTCCCTTTTCAATTTTAATATCGTTGGTATGTTGAAGCAAGCGAACTTTTGCGGTTGCCCCTTCATAAATGCTTTCAAGAATATATATATATATCGAAATCCCACTACGCATTGCAATTGTTGACTATGAAAAGGCTTTTGAATTTATAACTACATCAGCAATCACCAAATCTCTAAAGGCATATGGTATCGAAGCTACGTATATCAAAATTCTTGAGAGCATTTATGAAGGGGCAACCACAAAAGTTTGCTTGCTTTAAGATACCAACGATATTAAAATTGAAAAGGGAGTGAGACAAGGTGATACTATCTCCCCAAAACTTTTTACAAATGTGTTAGAAAGTGTTTTTCAATCAATGAACTGGGAGAAAATGGTGTACTGATAAATGGAGACCACCTGACACATCTTCGATTTGCTGACGACATAGCCATCATTACAGATAGCCCTTCAGAGCTCCAGGACATGATTCAAGAACTTGCAAACAAAAGTAAAGAAGTTGGTTTAAAGATGAACTTGAACAAGACAAAAATTATGTAAAACAGTTTTGTATGTGAGGAAACACTACTAAACACTACTGATAGATAACATGGAATTGGAAAAGGTAGATGCTTACATTTACCTCGGACAAAGAATATCAATGGATGGCAACATCAAGGAGGAAATAAACAGACGTGTAAAACTTGGCTGGAGTGCTTTTGGTAGGAATAGTAGTCTTGAAAAACCAACAGATGCCCCTGTGCCTGAAACGCAAGGTTTTTGATCAGTGTGTCTTGCCAGTTCTCACTTATGGATCAGAAACTTGGACTCTTAGAAAATCAGAGATCCAAAGACCACAGACTACCCAAAGGAGCATGGAAAGGTGTATGCTTGGCATAACAAGGAGAGATCGGAAATGTATAACATGGATCAGGAAAATGACAGGAGTTACCGATATCATCGCTAGAGTAAAATCCCTCAAGTGGCAGTGGGCTGGACATATTGCAAGAAGAACTGACCATCGCTGGACATCTGAACTTCTTCATTGGATACCAAGAGATCGAAAACGACCAAGAAGATGTCCTCACACTTGGTGGGTTGATGAGATCAAGAGGCATCTTGACACAACATGGAAGCGAAATGCTCAAAACAAAAGATTGTGGAAGAGGCTTGGGGAGACCTTCATCCTGCAGTGGATTGATAACTGATGATGATGATGATGATATATATATACAGATAGCCCTTGGTTTACGCCGATTCACAATAACGCCGCTGCACAATTTGCCGTTTTGAGGTGTAATTCCCTGATTTTCCGTATGCTAGACTGATTTTCATTTCAGTGTTGACGTATTTACCGAGCCGCGACATTGTATATTCGTTAAAACAAAGATTTTTATTAAATATATTTATTTTTTCTGTTTAATATTATTGGGTATGTATACATTTGCATTAAATTAATATTAAAATACTAAACGTTTAGGTGCCCACGAGTCAAGATATTAAACTTAATAGTTCAATAAATGGCGTCCGAATCCATAGTGCCAATGAATGTATCTTGTATCAGTTCATTCAGGAAAACACCTTACGACGCAATAGCACTTTTGGCGATCACAAATTATCGTTAGTGAGATAAATCTACTTTTCGTTGGCCAGATGATATTTATCTCTCTTTAGCCACCTTGAATTTTCTTGCTCAAACTGACCTTATATATAAACTGACCTTATAAGGAGTGCATATATAAGGTCAGTTTGACCGGTGGTTGACCAATTAGTGTCTTCGCTCGTCTGTAGCTCTACGTCGGGTTAACGTATCCTTTCAACTAAGGAAAGTTTGATGGATGAAGTTTGTGAGTTAGACAATGTTGGGAGCGAA